ACAAGCTCTCCCGACGCACGGCCGAGGTCCACTCCAGGATCCTGGCTGCCAAGAACGTGAAGCACTTCTTTGGCTTTGTGGCACTGGACAAGGAGGAGAAGGAGCTGGTGCAGGAGTTCCCAGTGGAGGGTGTCCAGCCAAGCCCCCAGTGGAATGCCATCACAGGCGTCTACATCTACCGGGAGAACAAGGGCTTCCCCCTCTACAGCCGGCTCCACAAATGGGCCAAAGGGGTGGAAGGGAATGGGCCAAGCCCAGAAGGCCACGAAATGCTCTTTTTGGCTTCCTAGGACAGATAGGCAATGGCAGTGCTTCTCCAGACCACCTGGTAGACCTACCATTATCAGTGTGTGGCTGAGGGGTTCACTAGGAATATTCTTCCCAGCAGAATTTCTTCTCTCAGTGGGTAAATAGGGATCTACCTGAAGGTAGAGATGGATAAGCAATATGCTGAAACCCTGGGGAACCCCTTCCTCAGAGACAGCTGTCTCGTTGCTGCTTCCAGATACACAGAGGGAAGAAAGAGCGGATGCACACCTTACCTCTGGGCTGCCAGTGCACTCTGCTGCCTCATGCACCAACAGAAACCTCGGGGAGTGAGAGGTGGGCATGACCTTTCTAACCGTGACTGCTGCAGTCCCACTTGTCTCCCCTGTGGCAGGATTAGCCCCAGCCGTTCTGCACACCTAATTGGTTTATTGACATTGGTATCTTCTTATGCAGTTGTGCAGTGCCTGTTATGGAGCACTTTGCATACTTTACAATGCAGGGAAAAGAGGGAAGCAGTGGGTAAACTCCTGTGGCAAGGCAGATGCAATAACACCTGGGAAGGAATGGGTCAGTAACACAGCAGCACACCAAATAATTGAGAGACTAAGGCAGAATGAATCACCAATATTCCTGGTATTCAGAAGAACACCTTGTAATTACCAAGTTGGAATCTGAGTAGGGCACCAAACTCCCATTTTTCTTACTGAAGTGTGAGCTCAAATGGTCACAACCGTGAGTTTATAAATTCAGAAGATGACACCATCTGCAGAATAGCTTTCAGGCTATCAGTGGTATATAGTTGTAGTTAGCTGTATTATGGGCTGTCTTAGCAGGTAAGGGGATGAGAAAGTTGCCAGCCAAAAGACATGCACCCATCTGCTGCGCTGGGACTGCAGCCCTGGAGTCACAAAGGACAGTAGGAATGGGATGGGGGGAATAGCCCCCTCCCTACCCTTCTACCACTGAATTTTCTTAAACACTTTCCACTGCCTTAAGTAGTCCCTGCTGCAGAAGATCTCTTTTATGTATTTGGCCATACTGTGAGTAAGCAAAGCTAGAAAGGTGTAAAATCACTACCCTTGCCATGACGCTGTGTTGACAATGGCTTCAAGACTGCTCTTCTGCCACTGCATAGTCCCTTTTCTCCTGAGGGTACCAAACACTGTTTCAAGAGTTGACAGGACAATGAAGTCTGGTTTTTCTACCTGTACTCTTTCCTTATAGGTACAACTTCATTCTACACTATGTTGTTCACCAAAAAGCCTTAAGCTGTTCAAAAAGTGACTCAAACCCACAGAACTCAAAGGAGCTTATACACAAGAAGGTTTGAAAGAAATCATGAAAAGAGAGTGATTTTTCATTGCCTTGTGAGTTTTTTTTCAGGAGGGGCACAAAAGACATAATTAATGTTCTCTTTGAACTCAAGGGCTGGAAAGTTATTTCTCCTTTTTATTAAACATTCAGATTCTCTCCTATCCAGATGACCCCAGAATGTGAAGTTTTAAAGTATTACCACATATTACAAGTCAGTAATAATGCTTTTAGTTGTTCTCAAAGTGAATAGCACAAATCTTGTACATCAGGATACAAATTCATCCCCTTGCAAAAAAAGCTGGAGGGTATTCCCTCCCATAAAGAGGCTGAAACACCGCTTTATGGGCAAGGCATCCCAGGATCCCCCTCAGCTTCTCTACAGATTTGCCTTGCATTTGTGGGAAGGCTTGGCTCCCAGCCTCACCATCAACTAATCTGCAGGAATCTTCAGATGCAAGTTAAATAAAATTACATTAACTTGAGATGAAAGAAAGTTCATTTGCATTTCTTCTCACTGGCCCTCGAGTGGGAACACGCAGACACGCCTGCACCCCCATACGAAGGTCAGCAGATGCAAGGCAACTTGCTGAAACAAGGCAGCGTTCCTCTTGCTTCCTTCACCTTCCACTGTGGTAGTCCTCGTTGTTCCTTTCAACCACCTCCACTCCAGTTCCTTCTCCTCCCCTTCCTGCCTTTGAAGGAAAGGGGCAAGACACATAATGCTTGGGAATGGATTTGTTTATCCTGAGAATAAATCACGAGCACAAACCACCTTTTGCTCTGTTTACCTCTATTCTTTTCTCCATTAACTCCAGCTACTTCCCATGTGCTGGGATGGGCTACAGGTCCTCGTGTTTTTCCTCCCTCTCATGGGAGAGGCATGTTTGAATGGACAGGGAGGAGTGGAACGAACCACTGCACTCAGAAATGCTTGTTTGCAAATGTTGGGTTATTTTTTTTGCCTCCTCTCCTCTGCCCCCGCTGAGACAGCCCTGGGCTTCTGGCCCTCATAGCCCATTACACCCTCATGAATACCGCTGCTGTCCCCCGCTGCTCACCCTCCCACGTCACGTCACAAACCAGCACAACCACCCAGGCTAGGCCTCTCACCAAAATGCCACCAGGGAGATCCAGTGTCCTCCTGGCATGCCAGATCACGCAGGCTGAGCGCTCACGCTCACTCTGCTTTGCTGCCAGAGGCTGAGAACAGCCCCATGGCAGAGCAGCCAGAGGGTGCCAGCCAGGGCACACTTCCCAGCAGCAAGATGGGTTTAAATCTGACTCTTCCAGTATGGAGGATTACACACAGGTCTTTCACCTTCCCCGCTGACTACTGCAGAGACTATAATAGCCCCAGTAGTCAAGAAGAAATAATACCTCCAAGGGATTTTAGTTTCTATTACCAAGGCTTATTTATGTATCTTATTATGTAATTAATTAATCCAAAAGAAAAAGCCAGCTGTGTTCTCAAAAGCAGCAGCTGCTACTGGGTGTCGCAAGCAGCCTCTTCCTCTAGAGCATTAGAGCAAAATCTGGGTACAGTACCTTGCTCTCCTCTGGGGCAAGTGAAATGACTTTTCTAGTCCCAGTGGATATAGGACTGAATTAAACGCTGAATCATTCAGCTTTGCCAAACCTGGGCACTCAAGCAGAACAGCTGGGTCCTGCAGAGCTCTGGTTTTGAGCTGAGAATACCTACAATGAGTAAGACTCTTCTAATTTAGTATTTCAAAGATGGGCAGCACCTACTTGCTCACGTCCACATTGGATACCCATGCCTGTCTGCAGACCCTGCTTTTCCCCTTGCCTTCAGACCTTCATCTGTAAAACATGTGGATGATCACATCCACAGCTTACTGGAGAGTTAAGAGAATATAGATCATAAGGCATGACACTAAAATACACCCTATGTAAGTACTCAGGATGCTTGATTTTTTCCAAGCAGTATGTTAGGTTGAGATCACTTTTTTCTCAGCACAGAAAAACCCATTTTTCTTTGATTTCACTGATTTCTCTTAAGAGAAAACAGCTACTGAAAATCACTATTTTTTCTGTCATCAATCTCTGGCAACTTGCTACAACAGATGGTTGTGATCAGGGGATCCATCACAACTGGATGCTAGGGGCTTTAAAGGCATAGGCCCTTTCAGGTAAAGAGGACAAGAGCATTCTGGGCTGCATTAGGAAGAACGTTACCAGCAGGTCAAGGCAGATCATCCTTCCTCTCTACTCTGCAGTGGTGTAGACATCTGGGGTGATGTGCCAAGTACCGGGCTCTCCAGTACAGGATATACGGTCTTACTGGAGCAAGTTCAGCAGAGGGACAAGAAAATTATTATAGGACTGGAGATTCCATCATACAAGGAGAGTCTGAGAGATGTGGCTGCTCAGCCTGAGGAAAGAGCTCAAAGTGGATCTTATCCACGTGTATAAACACCTCACATGAGGCTGTGAAAAAAGTGGAATCAGACTCTACTTAGAAGTACTCAGTGACAGGACAAGAGGAAATGGACACAAATTGAAATACAAAAAAAATTCCACTTAAATGTGAGAAAACGTGTTTGGTGGTTTTTGTTGTGGTTTTTTTTTTGTTTTTGTTTTTGTTTTTGTTTTTGTTTTACTGTGAATGTGGTCAAACACTGGAACAGGAAGCCCAGTTCTCCATCCTTGGAGAAATTAAAACCAAGCTTGACATGGTCCTGAATAACCTAGACTAGTTGACCCTGCTTTGAGCAAGAGTTTGAACCAGATGATCTCCAGAGGTCCCCTCCAACCTCAACTATGCCACAATTCTGTGTTTCTCTGCCAATGTCTGGGAGCACAAAGGTGCCTGACATAAATATTTCCAAGTGTTAATTCAGCTGAAAGGCAAAAATCTTCTCTGCTGTCTTAACAGAGAAAGAAATCAATTTATAAGACATTGCTATACTTAAAAATAGTGGGTCCTAGCTGCACCATTCCCCCAGGAAAGTAGAACAGGTATGGCTGGCATTTGCATTGATTATAAAACAGTCTATATTTAAAAATATGTCTTCAAAGTCATCAACAGACTAGGATTATTTGTAACACCCAGACGAAACTGCAAACATTTATCAAATCTTTTCCTTTTGTTTGTTTTTTCCACTTTGGTTTGGTCATAGACCAATGCTGTCCAAAAATACTGTCCATGGACACTCACGGCAGAACTCCACACCTCTCAGTTCCCATGCACCATGGAGACCTGAGTCTCTGCTTTTACTTGCACCATACTCAGGTGTCAGCAAGGGAACTCTTAGTCTCCACATACTCCAGTGCTGCTCTTTTAACAGCCAGGACACTTTCTGTTGTACCAAATTTCTTCTCATAATCCAGGTAGCGTTTAAAGAAGAATTTCATCTTCTTTGGTGCCAAGCTCAGGTGTGTGACCCTCTCAAAGATGTCTCTGCAAGAAAACAAAGTGATTCAGGTCGCTGTGCTGGTGACAGCACTTAATACAATCCCCGAATCCTGCCTTTGAACAAAGAGCAGAAAGCCAGGGGAGACATTCAACCTGCTGTGAAGTGCTAGTGCTTGAAAAAAGAGATTCCTGACAACTGGCCAAAACCTTGAAGTAGAAGCCTTCTACTTGTTTGCACAACTCTACAGCAGCTAGTCAAATTAAACCAAGATCCAGCCACTGTATTTGACCCTGTGTTCATTAAGTGCATGTGAGGGAAGCTGGACTTCC